ATAAGTTCCAAAAATGATTGGCCAGTTTTTAATTCACCCATGGGAAATAAACCAGTCTATACATCCCCTACAAAATAAGTCAAATTGGCCACAATTACTGCCAGCAAACAGGTATATGGAAGGAGTTTTTTCTACCTCTCTGCTAAACAATCTCTTTCCCTAAACTTGCTTCTGTTATCTTCCCACCACACTAAAACTCTCCTGCCTGCCGCAACTGCAGCCTGTCTCAGGGCGGGAACCTCCCTCCGCCTAGAAGTGTCCTGTCTCACTAGGCAACTTATATTCCTGTTCAAATGTCTCACTCTCTTGTTTGTCCTCTCTGCTGCTCTGCTGCTTAGTTTCTTCTCTGTGCAGATGCCAGTGGCTCACAGTGGGCTGGGCTGAGGCAGCATATGCTGAAGATACTCTGAGAGTTTTTCATTTTCCCCCAGGAATGAGGTTTTCAGATTTTGTGCTAGGCCTAGCACCACTATTGCATTCGTTTCTCAGACCCACAAGGGGTCTCTCGGGTTTTATACCCTAGCACTGCCCTTAGACTGGTACATACATTTCTCAGACCTACGGTGGTCTTTTTGGACTCTGGTGTCCTGTTAGTTTCACAAATCCTTCTGCCTCAGTCATGGAGAGTAAAAAGCCAACAAAATTATATCTCAAAACTTTATGACTTCTGTCAGCTGTTGGGAATGTGTTTATGGCAGCAGCCATCTTGACCATGTGGCCTAGCTTCAACCAGCATGGTTCTTCCCTCTGCTACCCTAGCTGCCTAGGCAGGGGGACAGTCTAGCCAGCTTCTGCCGCCGACAGAACTTGTCATTCATTTACCTTTTACCTTTTATCCTTTGTCTCTAATTTCTGTTTTTCACTGACTATGTTACACATAGCTTCACATTCTGATCCTTCTCATTTTTACCCAGTTCTGTTTAATATAGCTGTATATGCAAATGTAAGCTAACTCTACACAACTTAAATTCAACTGAACTAAGTCTCAAATATTTCTAAATCATTATGTGTCTTTAAATGATGGTAAACATTTAAGGTTATAAAGGTCTATTTCAAAGTAACAAAATATTTATGTCACCCAATCCTTCCTTTAAGCTGTTTATAAAAGTTAAGCTTCTATTATCAAAGGGAGTTTTCTCTACTCTTTGTCCTTTCCATCTGTAAGTCTAACCTAAGTTAAAACCAGTTACAGTCAGGCTAGAGTGCTCTGAGTAAAACATTCCTCCATAGCCTTTCAGCTTAGATCCAGTTTTCCAGGCAGATTAATTAATTACAGGGATAAAGCCTTACCTAGCCACCTATGTGCTTAAGGCAAGTAACTAAAGACACATTTTTGTATACTAAAATATACTAAACAGCCAGACAGCCCTCAAATGCTCAGAGATCTAGAGAATATGGCATTTAAAATGTTTCATTAAAAAGCTTTTATAACAAGAGAGACAGGCCAGCTGCTGGCACCACCCATTTCCTCCAAGAAGACTGATGGACACTGAAGGAACTCCACCCACAAAAGTGGTAACACTAGCCACTGAGCAATCCTGCCTTTCATCAACTGCTACAAAGGGCTCTAAGGACCATGGAGAAGAGGGCAGTGGAATTGACTTTCTCCAAGTTGCTTGGGCCAACTGTAGGTAAGTCTTCCAAAAGCTCTTAATCCACAGGTCTCATGCCTCTAACCTCAACAACTGTGGAGGACCTGGGGGTGGCTGTCCATGCTGCCAGCTAGTAAGTCCCTGTTACTCTCTAATCATTCAGGTAAAATTTTATCCTTCTCAAGAATTCTGATGCTTCTGACAACTGGTAGCTTTGTCAGCTTAAAGCAGCAGCCAAGGTTCCAATTGTTACAAAACAGATTTCAGAAATTGATGTTTTAAGGTTACTACTCTTTATACTCTTACCATTAATCATAAAGTTTTAATGAGCTACTAATCCAATTCTGACAGAGTACTAAGCACCATACTATGCCACTATGCGATCATAACTTAACTATAAGCTCACAATTAAGGTGCTTTTCACTGTGCTAAACATGTCAGTTGTATAAATGTTAATTCTTTCAGCCAAATCGTTTCTAACATGAGTATGCTGCTAATATGTCTTAATATTTATGTTTTCACAAACTCAAAATATTCTTGTAAGTTCCAGGGAGCGGAATTGAACCCATCCAAACAGGTCAGATTCACTCCAAATAAATATTCAACCTTTCCCTGGTCCCAGGATTCCCTTCCCTCAACCCAGGAACTTCTCCCTCATTTTACAATTCTCCCCTCAAGTACCAGGACATAGAAAAAGACTTTTTTTCTAAACTTAACCTTGTCCTCTGTTCTGCTAACATCATGCCAGGTCTCAAAAAGACGCCAGACTTCCTTATAGTCAGGACTGCGATGAAACAACCAGCTACCAGGACGTGGCAGTACCTCAGCTTTCTCATTCTCCCAAAGATGATCACTGTCCCAAGACCTTTTTAATAACAATAAGAGGTGGGAATGTTGGGAACCAGCAGTCTGCTGACCCTGCCCCCTGATGACGGGCAAGATGCTCATGGCCATGTCTTCTCTATGTCAGCCTTACCTTGCTGCCAGGTTTTACCTGGCTGCCAGGGTAAGCAGTTAAGCATGTGCAAATATAGCGCTCTCTCTCTCTCTCTCTCTCTCTCTCTCTCTCTCTCTCTCTCTCTGTCTCTCTGTCTCTCTGTCTCTCTCTCTCCCTTGCTCTCTCTCTTCTCTCTCTCCCCTGCTTTTGGTTGGCCATCAGCTAACCCCCTTTCTTTCCCCTATACCAATAAACTCCACATGGGCACTGACTCTTGGGTTTATGTTTTTTTAGACAATAATTGTATCAAAAGAGCAACAGGGGCAGTGAGTGGACAGGGTACTAAGAGAAAGAATGGGAGGAGAGGAAAGCAAGTGGGACTAGGAAGATTGAGTCTGGGGAGGAATAGACACAGCGGGAAAGAGAAAGAGAAGGAGAGGGAGAAGGAGAGGAAGTGAGAGAGAGACCATAAAAAAGGGAGCCATTATATGTTTGAAGAGAAAACTGACTGTAGAGACCTACAAGACTGACCCCAACTAACAATCTGAGCATCAGTGGAAAGGCTACCATAAATGCCCTTCCCTGATAATGAGATTGATAACTAAGTTATATGACATCATAGAGCCCTCATCTAGTAGCTGATGGAAACAGAAGGAGACACCCACAGCTAAACACTGAGCCGAACTCAAATCCAGATGCAGAGAGGGAGGACAAGACCAGGTTATAGAAACCCACAGAGACAGCTGACCTGAACAAGGAGGAGCTAACGTGCCCCCAGACTGATAGCTGGGAATCCAGCATGGGACAGACCCCCTGAACGTGGATCTCAGTTAGAAGGCCTGGGCAGTCTAAGGGACCTCAGACAGTGGAACCAGGATGCACTCCAGGTGCACAAAAGGACTTTGGGAGCATGTTCCCCATGGAGGGATACTCCCTTAATGAAGTCTCTAGAAGGAGGGCCTACTCCCTACTCCAAATGACTTGACAGATTTAGATGACCTTTCCAGGAAGGCATCACCCTACATAAGAATAATAAATAAAATAAGAAAATAAATAAATAAGATGTGCTTGTATAATTTAGAAAATAACTGATACATTTCATCTATATGTGTTAAATCACTTTTGCCAGGTGTTGGGTGGTGGCACACTTCTTTAATCCTAGCAGTTGGGAAGCATGGGCAGGAGAATCTCTACATCAGCCTGGTCTACAGTAAACTCTAGGCCAGCCACACTTGTAATTAAAACTCTCAGAAACCCAAACAAACCATTTTAGTGGAAATAGCTCAGGAACCAAGAGCAGACTTTAGTTGAGTTCAGTTTTAATACCCAGGTCAAAAGTGTACAGTCACCTTATTCCTCCCATACATACAAGGTATTTATGCATATCCACACACATACAAAGAAGTATATCTTTTAAAATGTAGTTGAAAACAGAGGACATTTTTACAGAAAGAAAAGCAGCTGAATATTATATATTACTAGTCAGAAATTAAGGATGAAAAAATGGCTCTGGGATCTGCTCTTCCAGAGGACTGGGATCCAATTCCAAGCACGCATGTGGAAGCTCAGAACCATATGTAATTCCATTTCTAGGAGAAACAATTCCCTGTTCTGGCGTCCACAGAAACCAAGCTTGTTGGTGGTGCAGACATACATTCAGGGAAATCTTCAATACACATAAGTAAAAGTAATATTTTAAGAAAGTATTTTACAGGCCTTTATCTATCATGTAAAAGAAGACTTGTAATTCCTATGTGTACACGTTAATGTCAAGTCATATAAGTTAACCAATTTTTTAAATGCCTCAATTTGTGAGGCATGAAAATAAGGGGAGGGGGCACTAGACATGGCTCAGTAGTTAAAAGGCATGACTACTTTCCCAGTACCTACATTTGATTCCCAACACAAACATAGCTCACAACTCAAAATTCCAGTTTACCCCCTCTTGTGGATTCGTCAATCACTAGGCATGCACATGGGCACACAAGACATGATTCAGACTGCGGTAGTTTGAACAAAATATCCATCAAAGTCTGAAACACTTAAAAATTTGGTTTTAATTTAATGGCAGTATTTAGAAAGTTTACATATAGCAATGCTGAAGGAAGTAGGTTACAAGTCAGAATTTAAATGTGAAAAACTCTTGCATTCCCAGTATACTTCCTCTGCTTGTGGCTTCCTATTCATGATTCGAGTTCTCAGCATTCTGCTCCAGCCTGCTGTTTGCCAGCATGTCTCCCTGCCATAATAGTTTCTTAACCCATTTGAAACTGTAAGCCAGCCCTCCACCCCACATGTATACACACACACACACACACACACACACACACACACACACACACCTTCCTCCTGTATATCATGTTTTATCACAACAAAATAATTAATACATGGGAAAAACACCCACATGTCTTTTTTTTTAAATCAACTAAGACAGATGACAAAACAACACACACACAAAAAAATCTTCATACCTGTAAATTCTGTTCTGTGAAGCGCTGTGTATAAACTTGTTGCTGTACTGGATGATGTGAAGCAGTGTGGCCATTATTCCAGCTATCAGAAACATTCTGGGGAAATTTTATTTTAAAAACGAGGAATATTTGTTTAAATCCATTAACAACTCTGTCCAGTATGACTACAATGACTATTAATTGAAATTTTTACAAACATATGGGATATATGCATTCAGATACTAAAAAAGCTATGTAAATACATTTTCCAAACCTATGAACTTTTCAAAAACTTTATGTGTTAGTTATGTTTCAAAGTAGTATAATGGCTGTTCATTATATGTAAACATTCAATATATTTTAATGTCAGTGAATAGAGATGGTAAAACAACTTTAAAATTTTTAATAATAATAAATTAACTAAAAAATAACAGTGAAATGTATAAAAGTTATCTATGAATATACTGCTTTTGTTTCTGGGACACACACATTTGCTGGAATGGTGTTTTTTTCTTTGTATAACTGGGCAAGCCTCTTTTCTCTGAGTAGAGTAAGCATATATAACATGGTATGAAAACAGTATCTGACTAGAGTCTAACATAGGTTCAATATTTTGATCATGAGTTTTTTCAACCTAACAAATCACAGATTTTAAGGTAGTAATATGATTCTTTGCCTTCATAATTATCATGGGACAAATATGTTTCTTCTTTTAAAAAACGTTTCAAAATCAACAAACCTCTTTCCAGCAGAAATCTCTTCGTAATCATGAACATTCAGAAATGTTTTAAACTGGTACCCCAAGTTCCTTCCCACCTCAAAGGGAGTCCAATTTTGATCTCAAACTCCTATATAACTAAATGTTTTAATTTAAATGTCTTTACATTTTAAAGACTAAACCACTATTTAGTGAAATTATTTTTTTTATTACTATAGATAGGAAAAACCATTAAAAGCTGGGCACCTACAGAATATAACTTCTCACCTGCTGTGCTGTGTTCATGGCACCCTGCCTGGAGGTAAGCTCTGCGGGGATTGGTAGGCTCCATGCCTCCTCAATACTAGGAAGTAATTTAGTTTTATTCTGTAGACTACCTTGTGGATGGTTACACAACTGAGCCTAGGAAAAATTATGTAAAAAGCAAATTTAACGCAAGCCTATTTAAGTATGATAAAGTCCACTAAATCTTCCTCGATGTTATACGTATTTAAGTCTTACAAAAATGAAATTCTTAATTGGGGATTTAGATAAATATTTAAGTATAAAGAAGATAATTAATATATTTAGGAGAAATAGACCAGAGCTATCCTCAGATTTTCTGAGTTCTCATATTTCCCATGAATTTTCAATTAAAAATGAGAAATGAAATCAGGGTTAATGTTTTTCCCTAAAATTATGAAAATACAGAATGAAGATAACATTGAAAAATATCTCTTAAAATGTACAAAATGTAAATTAATATGCATCACAATATGTAAGTGCAATAAAACATGTTTTAAATATTGCCTATCTTATTAGAATTAAAACTAAAGAAACACTATAAAATATTACAAAATATGGAAACATGCTAATACTAAAAGTCAAATAAAGGATTTATTTATGATGCCTCAGCGGGAAATCGGAGACCTTAAATTCAATCACAGAAACCTGCATGATGGAAAAAGTGAATTGGCTCCCACAGAATGTACTCTCATCTTCAAATTACTTCCATGGCACACACATTACCTATACACATGTACAACCATATAAAACAAACATAATAAAAAAATAAATATTTAACAATTTTTCAGCCACCATTCAATTGTCAATTACTGTATTAGGAAATCTGTTCTTCATAATACTCTATTTTAAGAGGTTACCTGTAAAAACATAATTCTTGATGTAAGTGCAGAGGTATTATTACAGCTTTTGCTCCTAGTTGCATTTAAGTAGCATTTAATGGCATCCTGAGGTTGGTTGCAGGATTCATAAAGAATACCTAAGTCCATCCAGGCTGCTGCATGTCCATGATCCAACTGTACAGCACATATATAAGCCTGTAAAGCATCCATAGGCTGATTTTGCTGTTGATAGAGCACACTAGAAAGAAAAATAATAGATTTCTTTGTTTGCTTTAAATAGTCAGCAAGGATGACTCAATGACTGACTTTCTATTCATGCAGAGGGACCTGGATTTGGTTGGCAATACACACATAACAACTCAGAAAGAAATGTCTATAATTCCAATCCTAGAGGATTCAGCACTGTCTTCTAGCCTCCACAGGTACCTGCAATCACATAGTACACATACATGTGCTCAAGCAGGCACACAAACATAAATACACAGGCATAAATAAATCTTTGTTTAGTTAAAATCACTGGTGGTTTTTACTGAAGACCTGGGTTTGATTCCCAGGACCCATTTGGCAGTTTACAACCATCTATCTGTAACTCCAGTTGTATGGGCCCAGTTGTATGGCTGAACTCCATCTTGGAACAAGGACAGAGAGTTCAAAGCTGTCCTCAGCAGTCATAAGACCTAAAGATCAAAGTTGTGGCTTTGTAGGATGTTTGGCTGTCTTAGTCTAAATAACAACAGACCAGAATCTGTGGTGTGGCTACTCCTGACTTCAAAGCTAGGGAACAAGAAGTTGCAGCTAAGGTGTGGTTACTGAACCCTTGGAATAAGTGAGGAAGAAAAGTCTGTTTGTTCCATATACATGATACTGTATTCCCATTTTTGGATAAGGTATATAAGAGTAGTAAAAAATAAACTCATGGCATTTCAGTATTGACTGAACTGCCCCCCTGACCTATATTCTGTCTTTTCTTTATTGTTTGTAGCCACTCTTTCCCAAACCCACAATCCTCGCACTCAGGTACAGACCCTGGGCCGCTTTGCTAGTTCCTATTGCAGCCACACAAAGACAGCTCCTGACACATTTCCAGGGGACTAACATCTCCTGGCTTCTGTAGTCACCAAGCATGCACATAGTGCACAAACACACATGTAGGCAAAATACAACATATACATATAATTAAAATAATATTTGTAAAATTAAACAAAAAATGCTTTATTTGTATATTAGTACACAGTGTCTTTCAAAATTGCTGCATATCAATTAAAAGTGTGTAGAGTGTACGTGTTTGTGTATTGAAAGAGAAAGGTAGAGAGGCTTACCCTATTGAACACCATGTGTCTGCACTTGCTTCTGATTTATCAATGGATTGCCTGTAAGATACAAAGGCATCCTGAACTTTGCCAATACTTGAATAACACCTGAAAAGAGAAAATACAGTTATAAATAAAATCCCATCGATCCATAACTTCTTTGCCAAAATGACATATCCCAACAGGACATAACAAGCTATTGGGAATATATTACATTATATATATCTAGATTTATATATAAGAATTCTAATATGAATATACTTTAATTTGTAATTAAATGAACTCCTAACACATTGTATTGACTGACTGATAAAAGTTAAACTTATTTTCTTTACTGTTGTTATTTTAAGGGCTAAACAAACAAAACAGTACTTAAGAAGCTGCACAATGTTTCCTTTAACACTACAATAGTTTAAGTGATAATCATCTTTTGAGGATTCTGTAATCAATTTCATTTTACCTTGTGAAACTAATTGAAAATAAACATTACTTTTTATGTAATTTCTTGAAGAAAAAAGCAACTTTATCCATGTCAATTTACACTATTTACAACTTTTAATGAAAGGACTGGACAGAAAACAAGGAGAGACTCTAAACATTATAATGATGCGTGACAAAACACACCAAAAGTATCTCAGTATCTTTAATAACACAGGCAAAGCTTATGAATCAAGTTTATATTCATAAATATCAAACATTTTTATTCTTTAATCAACCTGATGTTTACTTTTTAAGAAGCAGGTAGCATGGCAAAGGTACCTGATTAAACTGGAAGAAATGGTTTATTCAGTAGAGCATTTTGAATGGGAAAATGTGGATCTAAGTGCAGAAATACCCCCATAAAAAAGTGATTCAATCCCAGAATCAGGGAGGGAGGTACCCAGACAAAAGATGGGTACTACAATGGTACCAATGCTAATTGGTGACTTCTAGTTACATGAGATCCAGGGTCCAATATCTCAAGAAAATATGGAAAGAGATAGGACACTTGGTTTCAATCTCTCACCTTTATAAGCACATATACACATACGAGCACAAACATATACCATACAAACACCCAAAATTGTTAACAGTGTGAACACCCAAAAAAGTTTTAAATGAATATAATTTTAGATAAACAAAAGAATGCCTCTTAGTTATGTACTTGAAGTTTTTAAAAAATGCTAAAAAAAAAAAAAAATAAATAAGAATAATCCTAGTGACTAGTAAAAGAATAGACAGCTTGATTAGACAGCAGCAATGATTTACCAGAGTTCAGAGAAATAAAATTGATAGTTTTTTGGTTTTTTTTTAAAGCAGTTAAAACAACATCATGAAGATTTTTAAAGAACAATTTTTGCGTGAAGAACTAATGTGGAACTAAATCACTAGTTTGCAACTTACATATTGACTTGATGAACAGAGGCTACACAAAGGAAGGTTACAAACAAGCATAAACAATGGCTCAATTTTGTACATAGAATAAAGGCATCTATAGATTGCATACCATTTAGTGTGGAACTACAGGAATTTCATTATTATGGAGTCAATGTAAAAGAAAAGAAACTACATAGTCTGTGTATGTTTACAGAAATTTAAGTTACTTCTCTTAAAAGATTTCATTCAATCAGACAAATACATGGAACAGTTAACAAAAAGTATTCTGAAAACACTATCAAAATTATCATCATAAAAAGCTTGGCCAAAGAACACAACAGAGAAATAATCCACCATGACCAAGCAGGCTTCATCCCAGGGATGCAGGGATGGCTCTGTAAGACGCTCAGAGTGAGGAGTCTCCCAGTTTCAGTCGGTACCACCAAGATCTTAATGTCCAGTCCAGTTGCTGCAACAAGCAAGAGGCTTTAATGAACAGGAATCATGTGCGCAAATGGGCTCCCTCAGCAGGCAGGCTAGAGAGAAGCCCCATCCCCCAGGCCCAGGTGTTTTTAAAGGCAAACCCACAAGCTTAGGGAGGGTGTGTGACTCTGTCCACTGAGTACATGACTCTTTGAGGCCCGATGGTCTTGCTATTAGGGTCAGCAGACCTTAGGGCCTCAGGGTGTGCTAATTAATCTTGTCTGGGCAAACCAGATGTGCAGCTATCTCTTTGTTTCTTAAGAATCCTATTTACCACCTGCTGACTCGCAGAAAGGAGGGGCAGTGTGAATTCTTGGTATACTGCTATCTCAGAGCTGGTGGTTAACAAATTCAGCCCAGCTTCATTTCATTTCTTTGCTAGTTTAAGTCTTTCATTCCTCCTTTTTTCTTTTGTCAATAGTTATAATCTTAGAACTAAGGAAATTAAGAGGCAGCCTCCTCTTGACTTGGGAGGCTCCTGTACTGTTATCTAAATATCATAATCTGGACTACACTCACTTATTATTTTTAACAAAAGTAACAATTTTTCCAACAGTAAGCAACAAGAGAGGAATAAAAATGAGTAGTTGTAAGATCCTGTCCCTGGGTCCTATAACCTGGAGTGGCATGGGGGTGGGTCAGAGGAGGAGGACATATTCTGGACTGGCCCCTAAGTGGGCCTTTTTACTGAGTCTCAAGGTTTCTTGTGCGGTGACATCTAACATAATCTGGATCTCCAACTTGGAAGTGATGTGGAACTTTCAAACCTCCTTTCGTCGACTAGGCCTCCCAGAGCTGCTTCCACTCTCGCTGTCTCACCCACTCGAGCACCTTAAGCCTAGCAAACAGGCTTTTACAATGTAACTGCTCCCATCAGAGAACCCGTCAATGTCTCCCCAGCCAGCGGGCCAGCCAGTCGGATGTCCATAAGATCATTGTGAACCCCAGTCTCTTTAACCAACAGTTGATGGTAGTCATGAGTCATTGGTTCATCAGTCTCCTCAGGCAGAAGAGTGGTAGGATGAGGGTGGCTGGTAGAGTGAACACAATCCGCTCATTCTCTCAGTGAGAAGCAGGCTTTGGTGGTGAGTCATGCAGCCGTTGCTCATCCTTCGGTCTGGGGGCTGCCAGACGATGCTCTCCAATGCATGGGGGCTATTATAGTTGCTTTATGCCCCAAAGTCAACTTGTCAGCCGCTATAGCTTTTAGACAACCAGGCCATCCCCGGCTACAGGATCAAGCATCTTTGACAGATAAGCAACTGATCTGTTCCATGGCCCTGGGGATTTGGTCAAAACTCTCCAGGCAACCCCCTTACACTTGTCTGCATAAAGGGTAAAAATTTAGTTACATCAGGTAGGTGTAGAACAGGTGTGCTCAGCTGGGCCTTTTTAATGGCATCAAATGCCTCCTGATGCTCTGAGGTCCAGGAGAATTTTTTTCTTAGTCAGTAGGTAGTGTGGAGCTGGTAAGGTCTCAAACCCTGGGATCCATAGTCTTCAAAATCCAGATGTCCCCAGAAATTCTCTTACTTGCCTGGCCATCGTTGGGGAATTTTAAATCCTTGGGACAGTCGGGTCCAGGTGAGCTGCCCAGTTCTGCACGTGGCAGGGTCCTTCCATTCAAAGGCAAAAAGCAGTTGGCTGGTGGGATGTAACCTCGAACAAGTGGGATACCCGGCCCATGCCAAGGTCCACTGTTCTTCAGGCAGTCCATGGATCACCTTGGGCTCAGAGAGGGGGTCCAAACCCCGTCTCCCTTTAATTTTATCCTTTCTTAGGGCTAGGACCTTCAATACCTTTTTGTCTTCTTGGGACAGTCATTTGCCTAGTGTCCTTTTTCTTTACAATATGCACACTGGTCCTTGTCGAGTGGGGTCCTGTTGCCCAGGTTCCCTAGCTGTCTAGGGCCTGTTTTAAATTCCCTAACTCCTTTCTCTCTATTTTTCCCTTTAACCACTGCGGCCAAGATTTTAGTCAACTTTTCCTGTTTTCTGTCATATTTTTTCTCTTTTCTTCTCTTTTCTCTGCTCTCTCTTTTCTCTGTTCTCTCTCTACTGTCTTTCCTCTGTCTTCTCTCTCCTCTTCTCTGTCCCTCTAATACACTTTCTCTGCCTCTTTCACTAAATCACATAACTCAACTTTCTGTAACCCTTCCAGTCTCTGGAGTTTCTTTCTAATATCCAGGGCCCGACTGCCCTATGAAGGCCAGAGCCACCAAAGCTCTCTGGCCTTCTGAGGTAGGGTCAAAAGGAGTGCTCTCTTTACCTTAGCCAAATTGGTGAGCCGTCTCGCGGCACCTCAGAGACCCGCCACCAGAGCCTGGCGATAGATTTTTAAGCTCTCTCTACCTTCAGCAGTGTTGAAGTCCCAACTTGGGCCAGTCAAAAGGAATCCCAAGTCAATCTTGGTTTTTCAACTGCGTGGGCCGCCCATCGGCCCCAGGGACATTTTTCTAGCCTCAAGTAGAAGCTGTTGATAATCATCTCAAATAGCCTGGTGAGAGAACATAAGGAACTCCACCAACCCTGTAAGGCATTGTGGAGCCTCTGAGAAAAGGGGGTATTAGTTTCCCAATCACAAAGATCTGGAGAGAAGGGTCAGCCCTGGAGGCTGGCACTGGGGAGCCAAATAGGTACTGCGGCAGGGTCATAAGTCATAACCCCGTCCCTCCATTCTGGCATGGCTCCACCCAGGCTGCCCAGGAGGCCCTGGCCCATGGCTGTTCAGCCATTCCAGCTCAGCCCCAGGGCTCTGGCTGCCCTGCCACATTCCTGGGGGTGGGGGATGAGCACACTCATTTTCTTGCTGGGTCTCCCAGCCCTGCTCTCGAGACCCAGCCCTGCTCTCCAGCAGATCTAAAGTCAAACTTAGGTGGGGTAGTTAGTTGTCGACCCATGGGAGAGTAGAAATGGACACAAACAGTGGGAACAGAAGGATGTGACTAACAGAACAACCCGACAAAGAGGACAAACCCATGTGGTAGACAAACAGCGCCCAAACCAAAGTTACAAAGCAGGAGGGAAGCAAGTCCGGAGGCCGGCTGGCCCCCCCAGAGAAGCAAGACTTCGTCTCCTCCCCTCCTCCAAACAACCTGGGACTTTCGTCCAGGGCGGGACCAAGGGTCTCAGGACATGTCTGTCTCCCCCTGTGGTCCTATACCAAATTCAACTCCTGTGCAGACCAGGCACAGAAACTTGAGTCAAAAACACATAACATCAGACATACATCAAACATACAGGTTGCGAGCTCTGTCATACCTCCAACTG